TATAAATTATGTTAATCATCACATAATTTTGTCTATGTAAGAAGTAAATAAACACCCCAACATTCGTTATATAACGAATGAAATTCAACATGGAACCCATTATTGTTTGTGGACTAGCAATTTTTCCTCGCATACATTTGCAGTATTATCGCGGAAAACTTGATTCACATTTCAGCTGATGCTCACGTTGTCATGGATTCTTATTGTTGGGGGTATTGTTGCCATTCGTACTAACTGTACGGACTTCCGCAGGCGTACAAGCCGCGTTGCATAGGCCCCACCCCCATCCCCATAGCTTGATGAAAAGCGTATCCTTCATCTTGTAGCGAAGCCAAGTGGAAATCTGAAAAGAAAGTAACAAGCGATCAAAGAAGAAGTTTCAGTTGGTGGAAAGAAATTCTCAGAATTTTGAACCACACTCTCGTAGTTCGGTATGTTATAAATTAAAGATGGCTGTCTTCTGGGTCGTAGCTCCTTGTAGTCAGGTAGAAGTTTACTAACGTATCCATCAGCAAGGCGATGACTCACCGCCTTGCTGATGGAGGCAGTAGGTACCTCTGAAACGTTGGTAAATTTCTACCAGACTACAAGGAGCTACGACCCAGAAGACAGCCATCTTCGGACTCACCGCCGTAAAAATTAAGATTGCTTAGGATATGTGCGCGCATAAATTTTGTTTTTCCAAAACGTTGCCACGTCCATTTTAGAATAAAAACAGTTGTGAATTTCTGCTTAAACATACTGAGGTGCTGGCCTGAAACACGTTTCAAATGGAGATTACAAGACTTTGATTTACTGCATTAAAGTTTATGTCGAACATAAAATTCGAATTAAAATAAATCAGATTATTATAAGATGGTGATGCTCTGTACTGCGCTGCGAAAGGGCAACTTCAATCGGCACATTTTATTTGTATTCAAACTTTTGATTTCATGATTATATGCAACCAACAAAATTTAGAAGGCCAATAAAGTAACTTCCAGAAGACAGGCAACAAACTGTCTGTCTGTCTGTCTGTAAGACGTCATGATCCTTTGGGTTTGACGTACACCCTTGTCTGACTCGAAATGTTAGTTTTAAATAAAATAACCACTGGATAAATGTATATGGTTTCCTTAATTATTTTTATCACATTTCCCGCGCATCACATCTTTTTAGGCAGTTTCTGTGTATATGTCTGATAAATACCACGCACTGTATTAAAAAATTTATAACGACAAGGCGTGTTGTAGTCGTCAGTCAAAAGATTATGTATCCAACATTATTTTCATATAAAATGACTTCGATAAAGTTTTTATAATTTTTATACACGTGTCAACTGTCAGCATTCATAAGGTTCCGATGTAAGAGTAGTGATAATGGTCCACGTTCTCCTATCACCATCAACGTTCATGTAAAATCAAACGTTGTCCTCGTTTCACTGATATTACCATGAAATAACAATTCAAATGTCCACATGTCTTATCATCCAGACCGTATCTGATGCATTATCAGTTCCTCCGATATATACAAGTTATTTAAATGAACTAACTAGCATTACGTGCATTCACAGGAAGACAGTTTATGGAGTATAGTTTCTGAACTTTATCTAATGTCTAAATAGATTCCAGACAACTGGAATAAAAATATTCTTTTTATGGTTTGTGAAAAGCATTTTAACAGGTTGCGTGGATAATATATTTATAATATAGTAAATTAAAAAATTACCCATAAGATTTTTTATATTTATTTGAAGGCTCATCTTTAGCAGTACATGAAACAATGTGTGAATACAGCAATAGCTTTTATTGTGTGTAGACAGAAAACAGACACATGAAAATTCTAAATACTTAATAGCCTATGCTGTAAAACTTGAAGATTTCATAACATGAAACCTATCGATTTAGAGTGCATAGCATGCCTTGTCTAAACCCCTGTTAACAGAATTGTAAATAATATTTTTCGGCAGAAAGTAACATTTCAATGTGCACTCTATGGAAGTAAAATGTTGGTTTAATTTTAACCTCTATATGTAGCATTTGTCGGTAAATTTAAATATAATAGTTAGTGACCATAAGTAAATTCAAAATATTTACTGTACTCTAGGTTGATATATTTCATTGTGTGGACTATAGTATTATCTATAAGATTAGCAGCGAAATTTTCAGATAATTACCCAAATAACATATGGTACCATTACTTATGATACCGTACGTAACCTTTAAAAGAGTATTTTATGAAATAGAAACCTATATGAATAACATATAAGCCACTAGTAACTGAGTTCTTTTTAACAAATTTTTAGACGACATTCTAGATTTCATTATTACTGCTTTGAATTAAACATTACAACTAACTATGCCATGTAATGTTTAGCTGTAATATATTCTAAAATACATTAATTTATTTATATTACATGCTAAATATTTTTAAACCCCTGTGTATTTCCGAATTTGTTTGCTTTAACTTCCAGAATTGAGTAATACATATAAGTAACAAATAAGTTTGGATATCTATGTTTTATAACTTGTATTAAGCACAAAGATGAGAAAGCCAATTCTGGATGATGTTACACCAATTTTTCTATTTGACATTCTTCTTGCTTTATCTTTCTTGTGGTACTTCAGACAATAAGCGTGTTGACTGTACATTTCATCTTGGTGTAATGGTTGGCTATACACATTCTCATTATCTAATATTATACTGGACACTTCACCTCAATACATGAAACAAACGACTTGAAAAACACACGAACGAACTTGTACGTACATATACTTAGAACAGGCAGAAACTATACTTATGCTTACCAACAAATCAGTTTCATACTTTGTTTCCTACATGAAAGTGAGTTTTATGTACTGTACAACGTTTCTTTGGCACGAACAACCACAGTTTGTGACACACGAATCATATATTTTAATAGGACCATTCATATATACACGTAAACATATAGATATTTAAAAATAAGGAAGCTTGTCCATGTTAAAACTCATATCACTGAATATTGCTCCCACAATATTCTGTGGATAAGAATTTGTCCTGATTAAATTATCACACGAAAAGGAACAGGTACAAAACGGTCCTACAATATATGTTATCTATTTACTCATATTTTGTATTAATACTTTCTTCCGTTGACATAACAAATGATAGATTAAGGTGACATCCTATTAGAAATGGTCTTGTATTTTCTAACAAGAAAGATTCTGTTCTAAGAACGTAAGGCAATGTGATATTTGCAGCAAATTGGAATAAATTTTGACTCCTACAATTCAGATTTTGGCAGTCACTAAACCCTCCCTGTAATTTTGATTGTGAATTAAATTTCAGTGACTTTGCGACTAATGTAACTGGAAACTTTAGTTTCAGAGCAACATAAATGAAGCCCATAAAAGTACAGTATTATGTTGATTTAACTGTTAATGACATATGTACAACACACTTTGTACCTGAATTAATACAAGTATCAGCAAAACTATGATAAAATTTAACAGATTAGACACGTATTATTTTCACTCCAGTTTTATCATGTATCCAGATTATGATTAAATTTTACTGAATTACACTAAAAATAAATATAATTAAGAAGTTTATGACTATTATTTGAATGTTCAGTAATATTTCTGGGGCCTGTATGTCATTATATAAAAACACAAATCTTATATATTTGCCTTGGTAACAAACATATCTCTGAATGTAATTTCATTTAAACAGTTATTCAAAATAATTAGAACTCTTATGTGTTATGAGAAATTACCAGATGTAGCCTACATTTTATTCTGTAAACATAATATATAATTACGGAAAATTACGATTTGGAAACTGTAGTCTTGTTTTAAAACCTTACATACTGTGTAATGTATTGGAATATACAATATGCATACGAATAAAACTGCTTACACTATGTCATAGTGTAAACAATTTTGTTTGTATGCATATTTTGTATTGTAGCATTGTTTAACAAACCAAGCCATTTATTTTGAATTTACTTTATTGATGTCAAATTACTACAGTACACTATGTACCTATACAATAAGTCCTGGCAATGTGAGATTCCTAATACCGGTTAGTTTCGATTAACGTAAATTCTTGTCGTATTTTATACGCGGCAACTTATGTGCTTACAAGTAAGGGCATGACACAAGTGGATTAATTTTAGTGACTACTTTTAATTCGTAAAATTACATGTGTGTTTCCTTTAAATTTATTTGTAGTTATGTTTGGTAAAAACATAGTAGCATCGCCATAATTGAGGATTGGGTTATTATCATTAGAATCAACGTTGTTTTTGGCTGTAGATACAACTTATTTACTAGGATGGCACCCTAAAAATTTACCTAATTTGCAATACGGCAATATTTCGCAGTAATACTAAGTAAATTCCATTATTATTATTATTATTATCATCATCATCAAAATTTCTGTAAGTTTTTATTACACCACATGTTTAATTGAAAACCGCTATAATGAATCATGACATTTTAATTTATTGGTCCCCGTGACAATTCTCTTAAATAAATACTTGCGTATTTCTATGTTTTCCGATGTTGCCTCACTAATATCGCAATTAGTAATACATTCGCAGTGTTCCTGGAGCCTCCAAGTATTGAGTTAAAATTTTTCACGTTTTAAACATTATATCGACTAACATATATTGAGGTTCCTAAAATACGTTTGCGGAATGAAGTAGCGTGACTACACGTTAGCTTAATATTGCTGATGGAAAAACAATTTTTCGAAACGTGTATTTACATATTTTACACTGTTCAGGAAAATATTATCGTTTTGTAAAATGTGAACATAATTTACATTTTATCTTTTCGTGTTTTATGTTTTGTAATTGAGCTTCAGTTTTCTCCATGTCTATTTTAGTAATACTTTTAAAGCGAAACATTCAGTTTTTTTCCCCTTGTTTCATTAAGTGATTCATTGTGATTTTCAGTGTACTTGTGTCCAAATTATGTGTTAGTGATGAGGAACCCTAAACCCGGGTACCCTAATTTAAATAAAGCAAAACAGAATTATGTGGTAAGGTGTGCAAATTGGTGATGAGGTGGAGGTCCAAACTGATGAACGGGATGGCCATAAGGTGACATATGTGACATGTGGTATGGAACGATATTCATACTGGCCATCTTGTGTTCCTTCTTCCACTTCATGCGTCTGTTCTGGAACCAAATCTTGATCTGCCGCTCCGTGAGACACAGGGCGTGGGCGATCTCAATTCTTCGTCTTCTGGTCAGGTAGCGGTTGAAGTGGAATTCCTTCTCCAACTCCAATGTCTGGTACCTCGTGTATGATGTCCTCTGACGTTTTGTTTCTCCATTGGCATTTACCGTACCTGAAAATATGAAACAATATCATTTAATATAATTTAATTATTTTATATCCGTGGTTTTGTAATTAATTTCAGCTTGTTACAACCAAATCATAGCTCGGCCACGAAAGCTCCTAACAGTCTCTTAATATACAACCTACTATTATATTTTAAATCGACTTAATTCTTTACAGTTCAGTGGTGAATAATGTGCATTTAATATAATCTTAAAATGGTTAAACAGAAATTAAATCATGTCCCGAAAGCAAAAACAGTCCTACTGCTGTCATCTTTAATTTACATAAAATGGCAAACCCGTATTTCTCAAAGAGTTTAAAGAAAAAAGTTCATCACGTAATCTGGCCAGCCATGGATACATTAATTGGGTTATACTTTTCATTGAGCATTAAATATTTGCTCACCTCATCAACGTTTCTGCGGTACTCACAGAATCCGTCATTCGACCTTATGGTTTAACATCTCTCTCCATTTCGCAACTTTACAAATGATCTCTATGGGATTCACTTTAATAAAAATCTTTTTTGTTTCCCCTGACCGTGTTGTCTCTCTTCCCATAAGGTTTATAAAACATAAACTTTGTACGAATTTCGTGTTTATCCGATGCCACATTTCCCTTGAATCCTTGCATTTTTAATCGCATTTCTGTATCGTGTAAAGAGTAAGAGTTTATTGGTTCATTCTAAATACACTCTCGCCTGCCTTTTTGTTAAATTGTGACTTTACTATGAACCAAAACTGCCAATGAGGTAGACATTCAAACACGATAAAAAGACCTGTAAATAAATAGGTTTTATATGAAAGCCATATAATTTTAACGTGAGCCAGACTGCGAAAGTTGTGTAGCAGAGCTATGTTGAAACTTGTCTGAAAGAGGTACACAGTTCGTTCCATAAGAAGCTGATAGTCGCTCAGATAGTTAATGAATTTCCCGCCTTTTATTGAATCATAATAACGCGTTACTTATCTATAATGATCCAACTGAGTCCAGTTCACACCATCATATGGTATTCATTTATAACTGATTTTAATATTCTTCTCTCATGTACGCATGTCCCTGAGGTGGTCTTATCCATTAGTCTTCTGTCTAAAATGTCGTTTGCATTTCTCATGTATCTACACACGCTGCACATAATACCATATTCCTTGATATTAACACCCTAAGAATATTTGATACAGAGTACAATATATGAAACTTCTCACGTAATTTTCTCCAATCCACTATTACTTCCTCTCTTAAGGCGAAATATTTTACTCATTACTTCTTTTTATACGCTCTCAATCAGTGTTCTTCCTTTAGGATGAAATACCCAAATTTTACAAACACTTAAGAGAAAGGGTAACATTTTACATTGGGACTAGAAGAGAGTATCCAATTTCTGAGATGTGAATCTACCTACCGGACTATGTCACGTCAGTAATTTTATGAGGAACATATTAAAAACTGTTCGTATTATTGCTGATGTCATCTGTTGTGTCCTGTCCCATGCTGTACTAATCCGCATGAACTCAAAGTGCGTGTAACATTCTGTGTTTTACCCTTAATAAACTTATTTTTCTGTCCCTCATCTAAGCTATTAATTAATTAACTAACAAACAAACACTGGCATCGCGGTATATGCACAGTACCGATGAGTGATGATACACGGACATGGATACTATAGTTCTCCCCCCCCCTCCCGTGACAACATGTGGTAGGAGGTAGAGGGAATCCCCTCTGCTAGTTCCTCCCCTCAACGAGGTGTGGTGGCGGCTTGAAATAGATGTCGCAGCAGGCGCGCGCTGCCACATAAATTGCGTCGCTGGTCGTGACTGAAACCATCAACTTCCTTTTAAAAGCATATCATGACCTGGTCAACATGTACCGAACATCCTAGACATCCCTGATACAAACGTTTATTTTTTCAATCGAATATCAACGTGTTTGAAATTTGTTATACATAGCAAAAATGTACGGTACTTACGAAGGACGTAGTTGTATCAGACTACAACCGCTGATTAGGGAATATAGAATAAGCAGTCATGTAAATAATACAATGGGATACTTCTGCTTCTACAGTTTTATATTTCTGTGATCCTGAAATACGATTATATCTGTAACATCAAGTACGTTTATATTTCTTACACGAATGCCGTCATACAGGTAAAGTGGTTAGTTAACCTGAGTCAATATATTACATGGATAAGAGGGAATACCAACAAAGTTGGATGATTA